TGTATAGGCACCCAAAGATGCATATAAATCACAGAATCACTCAGAATTTGCAGTTACTTGCCAGTTCCAGGAATGGAATCCAGTTTGGATGTTTTACCCTATTCCTGACCCACGCCTCTCATCATTATGGCAAACAAATAGTAGACTTCCAGCTAGGTTAAAGGGAGGGTCAAGAGTTGGAGTAGATCGATTCATGGCCTCAGATACTGCCTATATTCAGTTGACACAATTTGCTTTACTATCTGAGGTTGCCTAGCCTCATGTTTGCTACATGTATCTATTGTCATGACTACTTAGAGTGTGGTTCAGCAAGAATACTAGTCTTGAGGTGCCCTGATGTAAAATATGAATAATAGCACTTCTCCTGTGCCTTCCAGCTAGGTTCTGAAAGTACAGGGCAAACACCAATAAATTAAAAATCACATCCCCTCAATAACAGGGTTGATGTGATGAGACTTCTCTCTGGCTTCGTTTAGTATTTTGAAGCAAGTGAAGGCTGCTTTCTACGTGCAGTAGTATGTAATGGGCTGGAGAAGTTAAGAGAAATGTTCCAATTTGCTACTATAAAGAAGGGTGTCAGCAAGGAAACCTGGAAACAGGGCAAATTGCCTGTGCGAAGAACTACATGTCATCAATGCTGAATAATTGGGGTGGGGGGGATCTATTGTTTTCTTTCTTGTAGCACTTTTCCTGTGTGAATCACCCTTGTGAACTCTTCTGCCAGGTCTCTCCCACCAGTGAGCTGTCTCTTGTTTTCTCCTGTTACAGAGGAAATTCTGAGCACATTGGTGCCTTGCCTGACTGATCTTACTAAGTCTGACTGCATCTGGCAGAGGATGTGCTGGCGACTGGTTGAGTGCGTGCCTGACCGCTGGATGGAAGCAGTGGTCTGTGGCTTTGTTCAGGCAGCACCAGGGTAAGAAATCAAGATTTGGGAAGTGGGGGAGAGGCAGGTACTGCTTTGTTTGCACCACTAGATTTTTTTTTCCTTGAAAATTCTTGACCTGTGTTCTCCACCTCCTTCCCAGGCTGCCTCATATTGAGATAGGTTGGGATAAGATTAGCTGGAAGGTCCTCCATAGCCAATGTAGATTTAACTTTGAGCAGCTTTCCACTATTCATTGCAGTCAATTATTTGCTTCTGTATGTACAGTCAGCACTTCATGAAAGCTGCTCAACAGATCCTTAAATTAGGATTTTGTTGCAAATAATCCTACTGTAATGCACTGACTGAAGTAGGGAAGTGGATTCTGGATACCTTTGTACTGACCTGTTTTGCTAGGGCAGATGTCTTATCTCGCTTGCTGGGGAACCTGGTTGTGAAAAACAAGAAGGCTCAGTTTGTGGTGACACAGAAGCTGCTGCTCTTGCAGTACAGTTGCCCGGTAAGAATTCTGTCCTGTCAGTGAGGTGAGGGGGTAAGTTGTTATATTCTTTTGGGAAGGCCAGTGTTTCTCAAACATTTAAATGCACATGAGCTCAGGTCCCTACCTGTAAGTAAAAGCTACCTCTTTATTATTAAATTTTGCCCTGGCTCCTCACCTCTCCACAAACATAGGGATCTTAATTGAAGATTACTGTACTTCTCCCTTGGTAAAGGGGAGCAAGAGGTCCCTGTCAAGCATTGGGCTTATATTCTACTTTGTGGGTATGCCTCTGGTGACCAGCAGAGATGTCACCTTTGCTTCTGGGGGCCAAGAGGATATTTGCTTGTGTCTTAAACAGCATGGAGAGCTAGAGGCTGTGGGTCAATGTAGAATACAGGGCAGTTGTTCTCAACCTTTTTAGACTTAAGGCATCCCTGGGTAGACTTGAGACCCCTCAGAATATGCCAGCTCTTAACTCTTTTTTTGACTACAGAAAGATGATAAAGGAGTCTTTCTGTTGCAAGGAACTTGGATCACAACTATGGATTTCTGTTTGAAATCTCTGGGTTTGTCTTGTGGATCATGTTTGAAAACGCTGATGCTAACACTGCTATCATTGTGTGACACCCTGCAGCATCCTTGAAATGATCTCAAGATGCCCCAGGATGCAGTGGTACCCTGCCTGAGAACATCATCCCCTAGATTAGTGATTAAGAGCAGCTGTGATGCAGTCCTCATGTGCCCTTGAGATGAGGAGGAGTACCTTGAAGGATGCCTGAGTGCGAATTGGTGTGGCTTCCATCCTTCTTGGAGGATGGAGAAGACTGAGGCAAAATTAAAATAGGGCAGTGTCTGAGTTGTAGAATGCAGAATACAGGCATACCTCGTTTTATCGCGCTTCGCAGATACTGCGTTTTTTACAAATTGAAGGTTTGTGGCAACTTTCATTGTTGTCTTATTTTAAGAAATTGCCACAGCCACCCCAGCCTTCAGCAACCACCACCCTGATCAGTCAGCAGCCATCAACATCGAGGCAAGACCCTCCACCAGCAAAAAGATTATGACTCGCTGAAGGCTCAGATGATGGTTAGCATTTTTTAGCAATAAAGTATTTTTTAATTAAGGTATGTACATTGTTTTTTTAGACACAATGCTATTGCACACTTAATAGACTACAGTATAGTGTAAACATAACTTTTATATGCACTGGGAAACCAAAAAATTCGTGTGACTCGCTTTATTGCGGTGGTCTGGAACCGAACCCGCAATATCTCTGAGGTATGCCTGTATAAAGCCCATGTTCTGCCTTACCTTGCAGTTCACTTGAATCACTTAGAATGAGGAGTCAAGTATATTTTATTGTGTCAAAGGCCTTGCTAGGTAATGAAGCTCTGCTCAGTAAAACAATATCTGTGACTTCTGTTGTAGACGGCGATGTTGCAGAATGTCCTTGGATATCTGGCCCTAGACAACAGTCGACGTTTCCTACTGATAAATGTAAGTTCAGTAGCTGGAGTGGTGGAAATCTTACCACTGATCACCTCACTGCTCTGCTATTTAATACTACAGTGCTGTTTGGAGTGATAACTATGGCATTCTGTGTGAATGTAGTAACAGTAGCACCACTCCTATCGGTCCTGGGCAGCTCTGTATGGCCTCATTCAAAGTCTGTCAGAGCAGTCCTTTCACAAGAATTCCTACTCTTGTCTCACTTCTCAAAAGGTAAAAAAGGAGAGGATGAAGCGAAGAAAGGGAGGATAGAAAAAGAAGGAAAAATGGCTGGCAGGAGAGAGAGGTGTTGCTATCCCATTTTAGGCAGGCCTGTGATTTCCTCAGGACTTCTAATAATACCTTGTGTGTGACATTCTCATTTTGTGGGTCATTAAGCTCAACTCTCCTGCTAATCGCATCAGTCCTATTGATCCCATTTTACAGATGAAGGGAAAATGAAGTAGAGAGGTGATGTATGGTAACTGAATTGGAAAGGAACCCAGGAGTCCTGACACTTGATCTTGATCTCTGCCTCTAAGAATATCCTTACACTTTCAAGGACATAGTAACAGACAGAAGGAAACCACCAAATTAAAGGCTAACATTTACATTTACTTTAATATTTGTTCAAGCCCTTATTTCTGTCTCTCTCCCTTTCAATTCATAGTGTGAGTTTCTTTAAAAATGTTCTTTTGATTTGTAGAAAATCCATTAAAACCAATGGCTCTCTTCTTTGCAAAGGATTGCAAAGAAGAGTGAGGAGCACTTCAGAGGGTGAGAAGCTTCTCCCTAGAAGAAGCCTAAGCACACTGGAAATTAGAATTTAACATACCTATCAATAACTTGAGGCTTTTAGCAGTTGACTATATTACTTTCATATTTAACTGAGAATATCTGTTACTGATAGTGAATTTTCAGTCAGTCATACTGGAGTGCTATTGATGCTTAATATTACCATAGAATTGGCTCTAGCTCCCCTTGCAGTATACTTGTAGGCTAGTAGAATCCTTAATATGTCATTGCAATCCTTTTATTGCCCAACTTGGTATCCCAGTAAGTCTGATCTGACTGTGAAGCATAAGGGATTGTCTCGGATTCCAATTCTGCTGAATGAAGGGTAGAGTTGTCCTTTGGTGATGTGGCTGAATGAGTATGCGTGCACAAGAGAAAGTGAATGATGTGTGCTGCTGATCCGGGTCATCTAGCTAATAATGAATTTTGGCCTAGGTTCTGCAAGAACTCATGGAGACTTGGGCCAGCAGCAGTGCAGTGAAACACTCACCAGTTGAGCAGCAGTTGTACATTAGCAAGGCCATCCTGATTTGTCTTTCCCACCTGAAGGATGTTGAAATAGACAGCCACAGACAAGGTGAGAGTTATGGAAAGGAGCTATTCTAAGCCTTCATCATTGAAGCATCAGGCCATAAATATTGTCCTCGCAGTCATGGGGCATGATTGCAGAAGCACGTCCTTCTACCCCAGGGGCGGGCAATTATTTTGGGCAGAGGGCCACTTACTGAGTTTTTGACAAGCCATTGATGGCCACATGACAGGCAGCCAGGGGCAGATAAATATTAATTTTCTTAATTTTTCAGGGGCCCCAAGGGCTGGATAAAATGGCCTGATGGGCCGCATCTTGCCCACCCCGCCTAACCACTTGAGTACCTGGTTGAACTTGTTGGGGTTAGTCACATGAATCAAGTTACAGTATGCCTCTAGTGCCTTTTTATTGGTAAATTGACATAATATCTATTCACACAAGTGTGAACATCTGCTTCCCCGGGGACAAGAAGCAGTGGCACACCTTGTGCCACTGCTACTTGTCCCCAGGAAACGCCTGATTCACGCACCCTCTGGCGTGCAGCAGGCTACCCTGGGTGGAATAGGCAAGTCTGAGTCAGCAAGGGGAGCTGCAGCTGCAGTGATCTTGCTGCCTGGTGCCTGGCCAGCAGCTGGAGTGTGGCTCTCACCAGCCAAGCTCTGGTTTTGGGCAGCACGTTCTGCCCTCATGTGCTCCACCCCGCTTTTTTTCCACAGGTTTTCTTTTTGGCCCAGGGTCAAAAAAAACCCACACTGCGACCTTGCAGTATGGGGAACACCCGAATGTGCGGTGACGCCAGTTGGTTTGTGGTGCCGCATACTACACAGGTGCACTTGTCTGGACACAGCCTTAGGCTGTACCACCCACCATAACATTTGAAGCCCAGTGTCTTCTGCCTCATGGCCATCCTTGTTTCTCTTTCACTTTCATATCTCAGAGATCAGGACCTTTTTTTTACCTTTATTCTTCGAGGGGTTTGTTCCTAATTCTACAAGTCTTTGCAATTTGGCTTTATCAGAATACAGGAGAGATGCCCACTTGTGATGCTTTCACAGACATTAGCAAGCAGGGCAGCCTGCTGGGATCATCTGATTCATTTGTCTCTCCCTACAGATCAGAATGTGACCACTATGCAGTCACAGTCAAGCTGTCCCACCAAAGCAAAGATTTTTATCTGTCGCATCTTCTACATGCATCTAGTTGGGATATGGCCTAAGCTTTTCTTGCCCCTGTAAATACCAGTTTGGTGAATTGCAGTTTGCCTGATCCTGTTAGGAACAAACGTTCCTCCTGTGTGGGAGCTTCTTGTATTGATGTGACACCTACCCCATTGAGCTTTACAAACTGGTCCCGCATATCAATGTAAGAGGTTGTTACAACTTCTAGCTTTCGTGGGTGTAAGTTGCTGCATTCCCTAAAACTATCATTTGCCAGGGGAATTGGGATACTGCCACGCTGAGTGATTTACCTGACTGGGATTTAGTTCTAAGAGGGGAAAATAATAGAATTCTATGCTTATATGAAATATCTCATCTACAGGGTGCCTTGTTTTCATATCACAAGCTTTTAAGCCTCTTTAAAAATAAACTGAATGTGTACATTTACTTACAAGTTCGTTGTTTTTAAATGAGCCTATGTGGCTTAACCCAGCATTGTGGAAAACCGAAAGGTGATATCCTAACTCCAGTATGTGAAAACTTGTGAGGCAGAATAATTTCAAGATAAAGCTTTGGAGCAGGTGTGGGGAAAATACAGCCCATGGGCCAGATCCAGCCCATCAAGGGATTTTATCTGGTCTGCAGCAGGTCCCTTGGCCCTGCCTAGCCTGTGTGGGGGACAGTCTGAGTCGTGGCATGTACTGCCGGTCCCACCCCACTGCCTGGGAACCCCAGTTTCTTTCCCACACCCATCACCAGAGTGCCTGATGTAGCAGGTGAATGAGGTTTCCATGGAGACTGGTTCAGGATCCCTGCAGGCAGGGCACGTTCAGCTGGGTGGATGGGATGGGGCCGTGGGTGGATGAGCAGTGTCTAGATGCAGGATGGGTAGGTGGGTCAGGGGCCAGGGCTGGAATCATAGGGCAGTGGCAGTGCGGGGCCAGGGCCGAGGACAGAGCCACAGTTTGCTCCTTGTGTGTCCCTGCAGTAGGTACCAGTTCCTGTTCTCAAGGACACCAGAGACAGGTCTCAAGTGCAGCCACAGAGAGCTATTCTTGCAACCCTCCGCCCCCCCCCCCCCCCCCCCCCCCCCCCCCCCCCCCCCCCCCAACTTTTGTATGCATTGTGTTGTCTCTTGTCTTACCCTAAGATTGTGAGCTCTTGTTCTGGGCTTGTGCAATGTCTGCCAGAATGGGATCCTGACTCATGTTTGGGGCTCATGGGTGCAACCGCAATAAAAAGTATCTATGGACTTTCAGGGAGTCTTAATGAGAGTTTGTTGGTTTTAAGCACTGCCAAAAATAGGGTAGTATGCAAGTGATAAAGTCAAGGAATTACATTTGCCAGTAATTAATTTGCCCTGTGTTCTTTATTATATCTTGGTAAATTGTTTACTAAAGAAAAATATGTTCCAAGTCCTGGGATGGATCTGTATTATTCATGGGCTTCACTGCTTAACTCTGCGTGGCCTTTTCCTGTATGAGGGTTGGGGTGGGAGGGAAAGTAACTTTTCCATGAAGAGAGGGTACGCTGCTGTAGTAAGCCCTTGTTGTCTGCTTGCATCCTTTGCCCTTGTCTGCCTGCTGTTTAGGTGATGCTAAAGATGTGCCTGCTCATTAGGAGCAGGCATGCAAGGATGCTTTGTCCATAGTGTTATGCTTTGTCCTTCTAGAGCTGTTCACATGCATGATGGAAGGGATGAAATGCCACCTGGATAGCAATTTGCCACGCATTCGGTGTCTGGGAATGATTGTGGCAGAGAGCATCAGTTCCAGGATAAATACTGATGGGCCCATCCTGAAATTCCAGGTGAGATTAAAACAAAATCTGTCTCTGCTGCCCAGGAGATGCACAGTCAAGGTGTTTGCTGTGGGTGCTGGTCTCTGCTTTCTAGCCTGGAGGAGGTACATCAGCATCTTGTCAAAAAGAGAGGATATCAGTTAACAAAATGGTGGGGGGTATATGGGCAGAATCCAGAACTCTGTGGTCTGACAACAGGGGTCAGGGTAGCCAGTGTGTAAAATAAAACTGCTCCTGGATTACCACCTTGCAGAGACATGTGGCACCCAATTGAGCTTCCACTGAAGTCAAGGAGAAACTTTCCCATTTAGTTCAGTGAGAGTTGATTAGAGTCATAAACCAGGTGAGCATGCAATAAGGGGGTAAGTATGTGTGCGCCTAGTTGCAAATTGATATTTTGATGGCTGACTTGAGGATTTAACTCCAGTCCCCATCAGTTTTAGTGCCAGCTGTGTGGATAAATATTTTACTTTCTCTGGAAAATCTCAGCTGTAGTGCTGCATTATTACTCGCTTATTGAAAGATTTGAAGATCGTGTATCACACAGACAAAGTCCAATGAGGCAGTACTATTAACAGTTGAATCCACTAGATTGCATATAGCTTAAACTGTAAATCTGCACAAGCATTTATTGTTTGATCCTTCTGCTATGTAAAAGTAGCAGCCTATTTCTGGGAGGTACTGAGCAGCCACAACTCATATTGTCTTCACCTGATATACTACCAATATATTGTGGCTATTCCATATAATAGCCTCCTCCAGTGTGCATCTTATTCTGAACATCTAGTATGAAGAAGATGATGAGACCAGAGAGCTGAAGTCCCTCCTGATACAGATGCCGTCACCACCCTCTGTCATCAGTCCTCCAGATGAAGGGTAAGATCTTCCTCAGCTTGTCTCTCATAACCTTAAACACATGAGTGCAAACAGCAGGCATTATTATTAAAGGTGATCAAAGTGAAGCATAAATCTTATGCATTTTTTTATCATCTTGATGGATGGTAAACTTCATGCAGGTGATCCTCACCCTGAAGGCAGGAAGCCCATCTTTGTTGTTAGAAAGGTCTGGGGTGTAATTGCTTAATATTTTGCAATGCTATGTGTTGCAGCTGGTTCTCTCTCTGCAGCCATCGTATCTCTAGTTCAGTTAGACAGCATGTACTAGGGCTTCTTACCCTAACTGGGTTCTAATAATTCTGGGTCCCCCTAGCTTAAATCATACAGATCAGTGGTGCTCAACCTCCATCCCACAAGTCTGGAAATTTGGCAGAAGGAGCGGTAGCAACATTAATTACTC